TCGGGTGTAGCAGATATCCATGGGCGACCGTATTCACTTAACACCAGTTGAACCATCGGCTCGCTCGGCAACTTTTCACATAAAAAAGCAGCTCAGTGTCTGGGCGTTCGCTTTTCGATTCAATATACTCGAGCAAACTTAGCTCATATCCCGGTGCCAGAACCAATGTAATTGTTAGTATTAAGTGCTGAGTCATCGCGGGCTCGAATGAGAAGAAGACACAATAATCAATCACTACATACAACTCAACACTCTGTCGAACACGGCTCCGGTGGCACTCCCAGTGAGGACGTGAACATAAAACCTTGTTATGGTCCGTGTGTTATTTTCGCGGTGGCCGTAAACACTAGTAAAGGTTAAGTATGATAGAGCCTCAGCCAATGACAGTACTGTGTACGGGATGTTTTACGTTCTTTAAAGACAAAATTCGCTTCGTCTTTCGATCTCTATTCGATTTTGTTTGTACAAACAAAGCGTAAAAGTTGTTTGTGCCGGAATAAAGTAATGACATGTAGCGAATATTTTTTTTATTGATGATTTTTATTCCTTTTTTTTTATTTCAATACAATGTTATATAAGCAAGCAATAATAAGTTCAAATAATGCTTAATGACCACCGCCGATTTTTTTTTCGCAATTTTCGATGTACGTGTACTTCTAAAAGTTTCAATATTTCAAAGAGGGTGAGACTTTTACTTAGGTCATTTTTCTGTTAGATCGTAGGTGACCCTTCAAACTATCCTCACCTTAAGTTCGTTGTTAAATATAATCAATAAAGAAATTTTATAGTCGTACAGGGAATTTTTACCATTTTAAGTCTTATAACTTTAAAATAATAATTCTATAATTACAAAAAATTATCATCAATCTTGTTACTCAAGTTTTACTTTTAACTAATTTAATCTGATAAACGTAACTCAGTTTTTTCCTTGTAAAAATCCGTAAGATTTGAAGAACCGGTCAAAGTCCGGAGGAATTTAACGCTTCCGTACGAATGAATGTCAGCACTAAACGAGACGGAATAAAACACGACTGGATGGCAGCCCTATTTGAGAACTTAAAACTAGTCTAGGGTTGCCATCTGGTTGTAACCTATAGGAAGTTACGACCGCATGGCAACCCTAGACGCGACCCAATAAAACAGTAACTTACAACAGCTGACGTTCGATGTCATAACACTTGTTTAATTTGCCGCCGCGGTATTAATCAACTCGGGGGTCCACTTGAATAGGGTCCCTATCGAAGAGTAATAACGTCACGCGTTCCAATATCGCCCGTATGGCGACGGGATAAGGTGCTCGCGTGTCGGCCGAGCGTTTCGAACGCAATTACGAAATACGCGATTCGTTCGACGTGCAATGTGGCGTTACGTTACGATATTCTTAATTGTTACGCGCATATCAATTGGGCTCCTTGATAGCTCAGTGTGCGCTCGCTTCAAATTCGAAATAATCGAGCAAACCGATTTCAAATCCCGGTGATGGTACCAATGAAATTGTTAATTGCAGTTTAAGTGCAGACCATATCACTTGCACGTACATATTTTTGAAATAGTAAAAAGAAGATATGCCCAACACCCTCTTTACATAGTAAGCCTTTGTCCAACAATGGAACATATATGAGTATAAGATATGACTTAACTTATTAATTGGGCTCAACTAGCGTGCCTGCGAGTTACATGGACACGCTTCCCGGGTGGACAGGTTTCTAGTAGATACATGTTATTTTATAGAAGGGGTTATGTTTGAAAGACGATAAGAAAGTGACTTAAGGCAACTTGCACTCAGTTTTAGTGTCACTAGCCACATGATAAAAGCAAGACAAAATGATTCAGGAAAACGAATGGAGAGTATTGCTCTCTTTTATTCCGCAGTCTAAACAGCTTTCTGTCTTGCTCCCACTAGGTTCGTTCGTTTTTAAAACACAGTTCCTTTTTTAAAGATTTGGTAATTTACTGCAACTGACTTTTGTATTCGACGGTACCAGAGCAGCACTGAAGATTTATGCCGCCTGTACTAATAGCGTTCACATCGTCATGTCGTCGATACTGATCGAGAAACTGTTACCAGAAATCTCTCCGATAGAAGCGCGCGTAACAGCTGTTACATATGCCCCCCCCCCCCCTTCCCCTCGTCCAATCGCTAATGATACGAGCGGTCCACGTAATGCGCGAGCATGCGTGACACCAGTGTCTAACGCATCCATCCTCCATATTTCTAATACGCCTAACGTTAGCACGTCCGAATAGAGCCAGGCGGCGGCTTCCACTGTTGCATCTCACTTGTCTCAAGCGATTAATTACCAGCAGAACAACAAAGAACTGCTCTAGAGTATCTTGGTTGACTGAGGCTTGACAGAGAGCGAGAAAGACGACCGGCACACGCGCTTGCAACCGCTCAGGTGTAGCTGAATTCCACGAGCTATTCTGCTTTTATGTGAGAAGGTGCCAAGCGAGCGGTTCACCTGAGGAATTTTGAATGATAAATGCCGCAAACTTTTAATAAAGTGTGTCCCTTCTACGTCACCCACCAGACGAAACGCAGAAGTATAACACTTCCACTTCACGCCGTTCTTCTGTCAGGTCGTGTTACTTCTCCGGACGGACCTACCAACTGTTACAACAGCGAAGATTATTGCGTGGCCCTGTCGTTGCATCTGTTGTAAACTTTAAACGAACTTTCTAAAATTAATCCATCAGCAGCAAAGGAAATGCCGTCAGAATACTGCCCTCAAAATGGAAAATACTCCCTAAAGCTATGATGCTTTCATAGTAGAGGATCTCGCATATTTTAGCGATGTTCAAATGGTGCAGATGCTAAAAAAATCAACCCTTTAATTATAGCATCATATGTAATATTAATAATGTTCACCATGATCACATATAATTACCCGAACAAACAACAAGAATCCCAACTCAAATATCAATCTTCGTAAACGGTTATACATACTGAATTGAAAACAAAACTGTCCGAGGGACAACGAGCTTTATCTCGCAGCTATAATGCTGCCAGTGCCTGGGTGCCAGTGCTGCCAATGACCACAGCTGTTTTACTGTAAAAGTTAAAAATAGCAGCATATTTTAAAATTCCACAGTCGCACGATGCGGGGAAGGCTTGCATAATCCGAACATCGCATCGACATACTGACCATACGCACGCCTGAATGCATAAATACTAAAGATCTTGCCAGATATATCGGGATGCAAACGACAATGGCACTGCGACAATGTATTTATAGAGCTGTCGGTGGTGTAAAAAAATAAAGTAAAAACTGTTCATCATTATAGATTAATTTATACAAAACTATTGTGATTCGTATTCGTCCACAGGTCGAAAATAGGCCATTTATAATGGTTAATGCTAACTCGCCAATAGATACAAAACAAATAAATAGAGAAAATCGGCTGACATCGCTTCACAAACAGAGTAGAAAGGGTTGGTCTACTCATATAAATACTCATAAAAAGAACTTAGAAACACGTAAAGCATATCGGGCAGAAATCAGACTTACGTCGCAAAGTTACTCGGATGCATAAAATTCACCTCTCAAGTGCATGACACTTCATGCATTCATTCCCTTAGTCACCAGCGCTCTGGACTAAGTTTATCTAAAAACTCAAACCTATTGACGACATACACGTTCGCGTTGACGATATTATCGCCTTTGATTTTTATCGAGGGGAAAATCTTAAAGGGGTGAGGGAGGAGACATGGTTATGGGAGGGTTCCTACCCACTGAAACCCCCTCGGTGGCCAGCCACACTAGTTTGAGAGGGACACCGGTATCATGTTGGTGATGATATCACAAGCACATAAGTGTCAAGATTCATTAATATTATGTACGCCTCATCATCATCATCATCCTCCTGCCCCTTATCCTACATAGACGGGGTCGGCACAACATTTTAATTGTTGTAAGCGGTTTTAGCTATACTCCTTACGACCGGCCTCCTGCCTGACGTCAACCCTCCTTGGGAAACAAACACCCAGATCTAGAACGATTATCTGTGTGTCACCAAAATACTTGTCTCGGATGGGAATCGAACCCACGGCCCCTGACACCGAAACATATACATTAGCAACGACGCCACCGAGTAATCATATCATGCAGTCAATGCCAAATAAATTCTATCAGGTGAGTTTCCATCTCTTCCTAGGACATCAGTAATTTTTATGGCGACAAACCGTTTTATCATTGTACATATATTACATAATTTTTCTAAAATTTTTCAAACGACAAGGAAAACGCTCACGATCCATCGTGACATTGCGAGTGGACGTGATGTCATGTCAATACGGAGGACACCGTGAGCATACTAACGACGGTCAATAAAATTGCGTCTCAATTTCGATCCCAACATGCATGTTTTTGTATATAAATATATGTTTCCGTTAATGTGCGATCGGATTCAATACGAAATCGACTAACCTCTTTATTTATGTAAGTAGCCAGCGAGCAGGCGGTTCATCTGATGTTAAGTGATTACCGCCGCCCATGGCTTACAGAGGCCAATGCCTATAGTCAAAATTTAGGGCTCAGCTTACCTGGCGGAACCCCATCAGCCGGAAACGCTAAAGTGTATACTTCTAACTCACGCCGGTGTTCTGCGGTACTTCCCCGCTCGAGCCAACTTATTCGTGCAAAAGCAGAAACTGCTGTGTTGCCCTACCACAGTAAAAACTTCAATTTTAATCAATTATTTTCTCAATTATTACACAAACAAATTCGCGAAAAAAAAAAGCTATAAAGTTTTTCATAGCACTGATTGGAATTAATTTATTAAGCACATGTGTCCACTGATTCGAGTTTGCGTATTAAACATACAAGTTTCCTATAGGAATTCAAAAGTAATATGCATATTACTTTAGAATTTCTTACGTCCAAATTGCAACCGCCTAACTGTAATCGAGAAACTAATAGCCCTGATACGATTCCCTGTCAAGGGATCGAAGTAGTGGGAGCCTATCGACCATTAAACACGCACTGACACGCACTGGATTAGTGGCAAACGTGCCTTGTCGCCATATGCGGTACGTGGATCACGCTGCGCATATCATATGCGACTGTGGGCCGAAGCGACGCGTCACTATTTGTACCATTTAGGCACAGCAGGGCTGAGTATACGATCTTACGACGAATTCTGTCATAGTTTGTCACGCTGACAGAATTATAAATTCACTAATTTGTCCATCCCTTTTTAGCGTGGTACAGATGGCATCGAATATGGTTATGTATATCGAATATGGATGACATATGGTAAATTAAAGAATATTTGTTTTCATTGGTGGAAAGCGAGCTGGCGGTTCACCTGTTTTTTACGTAAGTGTTTATCACCGCCAACGAATGGCCACAACATCACGAACTCGTATGATCGTCATTAGAATAACAAGAATGCCGGCGTTTGGTCTTTGCGTCCGATTTAAACGTGGTACAGATGATGATATATAAGTGTTATTGTCAATTAATTCAGGCAAGAGTAAAAAATTTAATAACAAAGTTTCAGAAGAAGAGGTCACGGTGGTAGGGCCATACAACAGCTACGCTGTTGCACGGAGTGCAGGTCCGTCCGGGTAAGTACCCACGACCTTACAGAAAACCGCGTGAAGTGGAAGAGTTATACTTCTGCGTTTCGTCTGGTGAGTGAGGTAGCCGGAGCCCATTTTATCAATAGGTGGCAACACATCTGCAACCCAACGAGCGTTACAAATGTCAATGGGCGGCGGTAATCACTTAACATCAGGTGAACTGTCAGCTCGTTTGCCACTTACTCACATAAAATATAAAAAAGCAAGACATCAAAGCACAATTTACAGTAAAGCTAAGTTTTTCATAACGTATGTCGCTACTATATAATACCCTACATTTATAAGGAAACAGGTAACTTCTTTGCGCTTTAACTGTGGCACACAAAAGCTAATGCGGAAGCACAATTGGACCGCTTAGTACGAGTAACATCGCAGCGTCTCAAAATACCTTTTTAACCGACTTCAAAAAAGGAGGAGGTTTCTCAATTCGACCGTATATATTTTTATTTTTTTATTATGTGTTCGTGGATAACTTTGTCGTTTATGAACCGATTTTGATGATTCTTTTTTTGTTCGAAAAGAGATATCCCATTGGTGGTACCATAATAAGGAAAAGAGGATCTGATGATGGCATCCCAGAGAAATCGAGGGTCATCATTGAATGTTACAGGTATTAACAATATTTTTAATTATCTGATTGAAGACGGTTTTTTTTTGTTAAAAATTATACTTGTTAAAATATACTTTGTGTTTCATCTAGTGAGTGAGGTAACTAACTACTTGAGGACGTTTTAGGTTGACATAGCACTCTTAAATCTATTTCTACGAGTGGTCACACTGATGTTCAATGTCTATGTGATATCGCTTACCACCATCTAGTGAACCTTTTGCTTAATTCCACGTTCTTAGATAAAAAAACAATTATTAAACTGCCTCAGATGTAAAATGGCAGCCCTATTCCAACGCGACACTTATTCAAAAGGCACCAGCGTCGGGTGCAACGAACCGACGGCTTATTGGATGATTGTGTGCCATCTAGCAATTGGAGACAATTGTTCCGCTTTTGTATCAGCCACATAGTTACACTGCAGCTATATACAGCGTGTCGTTACCATCGCGACAATAAATGAACAGACATATAGGCGATAACTTTTTGAAGTTGTATCAAACATTTAAATTCTTTAAACGTCAATATTTACAGAGTTATTAAATTTTCCAAAACAAAGAATTTTAGAACATCCTTACCAATAAAAGCGTAACGTAAAGTTCATTTGTAAAGGTCACAAAGCATATGAATGGGTTGAATGAATTTAAAAGAGACAAAACATACTGTTAGAAGGAGAGGCTTGTAATACGACGCTGTGGCGCGAGTTGTATAGGATGTTACAAATTTCGTTTCTTTTTTACTTAATTAGTTTGAAAAATATTTTTTTTAATCATGGATTTTGTTTAACGTTAATATTTTTTTATGATTATTAGCAAGTAGCGTTAGACGTGTGTTCATTTATTGTCGCGATGGTAACGACACGCTGTATAGCTGTTAGCTATAGCAGGTGCATGGATAATCAATGGTAAAAGGGTTGTAACCAGGTGTAATTTTATTAAACACGGAAATTAATTGCAGCGCACTGATAACACTGATAAGCAATGTTCTTATTCAAAATTAATTACTTGAATTTCAGAAATCCAAAACAGTTGACACTGCAGCCACTAGCGGTTGTGCGGTTGTCCGTTCTAATTAATCATTATTCCTCCTTTTCGTAGTAACAAACTGTTGTCTATAACACTCATGGACATGCGTCCATAAATACTAATACTGCTTAAATAAATAATTTGAATGAATTATCTATTATGTATTTCATAGTAATGTCAAAATGGAAATCCAACATCAATCTAATTACAGGACAGTTACATATATAAGATAGGATTAACAATATCGTAAAAGATATAGTCACCTCTTATTTATTATATGATTATGGGCTTTTTTCTTAATTTCCTATTCGAAGATGCGCCTGCACCAGGATAAGACTCTTCTGCAGCGGTTATAGACACCCATCCGGTTTGAGTTTTGCAAGTTTGGCGAAACCTGATCCTATCTAAGTGCAAGTTTGTATTTGTAAAAAAGCAACTGAACAGTAGATACTGTATGTAATATTTCAATAATAATTCTCTGACAATCTATACGTCCTTACTAATATTATAAAGAGGAAAGTTTGTATGTATGGATGGACGTTTGTTACTCTTTCACGCAAATACTACTGAATGGATTTTAATGAAACTTTACAATAATATCGTTTATAAATTGGAATAAGACATAGGCTATATTTTATGTATATCTGTCATTCTGCCTTAACGCCTTCTGTTTATTCTACGCAGACGTAGTCGTGGGCAGCAGCTAGTGTTTAATAATGTAAAGACAAACACAACAAACAATGCAATTTGTTTGTAACGTCTGTAATATTTTATAGCCACTGCTGAGTGAGGTCGAACGGCACTTAATTTCTAAGTCATTATTTCTCCATTAATTTCCGATAATATTCCGTGCGCGGCTATCTACGTCGAGAACATTAGCATCGTTTTGAGTCTTGGTCAAACGTTAGTCTACAGACAATAAATAAGACGCAAATTACTATTTAAGTTCAGCATACGGCAGAATTACGATTTACGTTTAGATACGAAACAATTGAAATATCTTAAAAGCGAAACGTTACGTCTAAATCGTAACACATGAAAAACGTATTTATGACCTTAGTCGTACTTTTTATCATCTGTGTAGGTAGTTATAATTTGCATAGCGAAGTTGTTATGCCGGACACGTTAGGTTATGCATTGCATTAAAATAATATCTTTGAAAAATGTTTCTAAGTGCTAAGTTTGTACTCGTACTTCAGTGGTGCATGCGTTTCATAATTTTAACGTTAACAAATTTATTAAGGTCTATCTACAAAATCACATGTTTTAGAAATAGCATACAAGATGAACATAAACTCAGGTTCATGCAATTTCAATTACAGACAGACACTGCATACTCAGAGTATAGGTGCTTAAACAGCATTATAAAACAATTTCACTATGTTCATTGGTGAAGAAAGCCTCAACGTATTTTAGTCACATGTAAATAAACTTAATTTTACATTATTCCACTGAGTCGAACTCTTCTGTTCTGTTCTAGTTGTACCTTCGCGTAGGCGTGTGTATCTTCGTGTACATTTGTGTACCTTCGTGTACATGAGTGTGCCATTATACATATGAGTTGTTGCGTAACCAAAAAATTAAACAATCTTCAGACACTCACAAGTGATTAGACCACGCAGCGTGTCGAGACGCTCCTCTCGCACGAGAGCTAGCGCCGTCTCATGGATACACACGGAGAGCTGCGAAATGAGGAAATTCTAAATTTAATTAATTAATGAATAAAGAGATGTCTTATAAGATTAAGCATGCGACGAGTGAACGAACATTACAATATAACACGTGTATAACATGGTGTGTCATGTTTATAGTATATAGACAAGTTCCACATATAGTTCCACATATTCTGTTTACAGAAAGAACAATGCCCATTTTTGACCTGATTGTGTATAGAAGTGAAATAAATATTAAAATTTAGCTAATTTCATTTTATAGTAATTACACTAATCACAATGTTAAAAGAAGGTCGGGAAAAAAATATTTTTTGATATTTCTTTACGCTTATTTTACTTCAAGGGTAAACATATTACCATGTTTTGAACGCACCTTAACAATCCTTTGCATAGGACGTTCCATTTTTCACACTACCTACTTGACTGTATTCAACTTTTTCTGAGTTTTGTACGTGATATTACGCTTTAGAGAAGTGAGTAAGCACCTAATTAACAGTGTTTGTATAAAAAATAAGATCAATCTTATTAGTAGTACAGATTTATTAAAAATAAAATAATAAATTATTAATGCAGCATGTAATAAAGTTCGCACGGCTGACGTAAATGGATTTTTTTGAAATTTGACAGTTCTGCGAGTGACTCATACTCATCGGTATTCGCCAGTAATTGTGAGTATTTATGTTTATCATTTTTAATCTAAAAATGTCAATCATGTCCTAATCAAACTAACAAAGCTCCTATAAATTATACCTGTGACATAACACAAACAACTGTGCAAAAGATCTATATATCCAAAATATGTATTATAAAGTCAAAATATATTTTTTTATTTCAGATTACTGAGGAAGATTACATTTGCAAATTTTGTAATGAACTCTTTATGAGAAGAATAAACCAGGAATTAACAAGCTGTGATGTTGTTCAAGCTTCAGGATTATCTCAACCAGGTCGAAGAACACAGTTTTTGATAATCCTTCAGAAAATCAAAGACATAAATTCTATTATACAAACAAGTTCACAACATCACATACTCATGTTTCTACATTGTTAATCATTTGCCAGTATAAAACTTGATATTATTACTCTAGATTATTTCTCTTTTGTATTTTAGATGTAAATTATTATATCTGTTATTAATTGACTGATGCTGTAATAATTTTAACCACAAATAAATACATAATTGAGTTTTTAAAAAAAATATATTATTAAGATGAATAATAATTATTGCTTTATTACTTCTTTTGTAGATATCATCATCTGATAGAATATGCCATTCATGCTGGATGAGTTGTAACAGTGCTGCCACACATATCAGGAATGTTGCTGAAGTTTGTGGTGTTTCTACTACTGAAGATAATTTATTTTTTATGTTTCTTAGAGATTAAGTTATTAGTGAACTTATACTATTTGCATTAGGTACCAAATAAGGCAAGCCAAATCCTGTAATGGCGAACATATTCGCTTTCATGTATCACATAGAATAGAAATATGTAGGGACACCGGAGTTTTCTAGGAATAATCTGAGAGGAAGTGGTGACATAACACTAATAAGAGGAAAAATTAAGTCCTGGCACATTTAAAGAAAACAATATTATGTCTACATTTTAATAGAAAATAATTTGTCTGGCAGAGCTAGTATAGTCGAATACTGTTGTAATTGTTTAGTTGGTTGGCGAACCATAGGATGTTGCACTCATGTTATGACTAGTGTTGTGCTTCGGATGAACTATCAAGAAAATATCTCTGTTATAGCAGAATTTCTGGATACATAGTTATGACATTTGATAATTAATAAAGCATTCCACTGTAACATAGTGTTTTATTTTTTCCCCCGTTTTATTAATCAAGCATTATAATTATCGATTATTATGTATTGCAGTGCAGGCCAATGAAATGTGTGGGGCAGATAAATGATCACTTTTATCTTACGTTTTTTTAGTATAAGTACTTATGTGAGCTGTTGAAACAGTGGATAATGCTCTTCACTCAATTTATAGTGACAATAATCAAGTCTAAGCAGTGACGTAAGGGCAGTAAGTTTCTAGGAATTCACAAGTAAAAAAGACTTTTTAGACCTTAGACAGGCTTATATTATTATTATAGAATAAACTTGAGCGTAAATAGCTTTTTAAAATAGCTTGATACTTCCAGCACATTTATTTCGTTATATTAGGTAACTGCAAATCCTAACCTAAAAAGTAACATTTTTTAATAATTTTTGGACTTCGTAGACCAGCAATCGTAAAACTGACTATATGATATTAATTTACTAACTTAAAGGTAGTCTTTCTGCTATACCTTGTAACTATACATACACTTTCATTATCAGGTTTTTAAATGTATGGGAAGTGGGCATTGCTCTTTAAGAAAATGCCTGAAATATATACTATAAGACATTTTCTCTTGCAATTATTAATCAGAACAGTTTGAAATCAATAGCGCGTCAGTAAAGACACGTTTTCAAAAGCATGCCGATTGAAATCCATATTTGCCTAGCGCCTAAAAGACATTGATGAAAACAATTGTTTCCCCTTGTAAGTATAGATGGTTCATTATGTCAGCCGTATGCTGCTGTTGTGGGCATCTGATACGTAGAACAATTGGAGAGCGTTTGGAATCGAAGGATTCCTTATAGTGCCTATTCGATAAGATTCACACATTACTTTTTCAAATAACTCATTATTTAACACAACCATTAATATTACGTATTATAAATGATATAATAATATTTAAAAATAATTATTGGTCGACACATTATAGTACATTTTATCAAGAAAAAATAAGGAAGTGTAACCAAATGTCAAGTTTTAATCCCGAATACATCTCAACTTAATGCTCGCTTCAAAAGAAGCCTTAATTGAGAAAATATAAGAATTTTGATTTCGATTCATAAACCTCGTGGCACGGTGCCAACGACATCAAGTTGCACTTACTTACTTGCAGAATGGTTATGCTTGAACTTTGAGCGAATAAAGTCACTACTTCAGTCATCAGCAACAGTAACGCCCCACAATAAACTAAGTACGGAATTAATTTGTTTACCGTATGTCCGAGTAGCTAACGTCAGTCAATGATAGAAATATGACACAATCCGTCAACAATATCCACTTTGCGTCCGATCCGAGATTGTATTGAGTAACGCCTTAAACACGATAAAATTAACCACCCATATTCACACAACCACATAATAGAACACTCTGTCCGTTTGTGTAATAAACACGAGGTTAGCTTGATTATTTTTACAAATCCAATTAGTAATATCATCCGTTTTAATGGATACTCAATTTTCGCATTCACACGATTTTTCTTCACCTTTATTCATTCGATCCAATAAAACATTAACCAATTAGCCGTCATTGGACATGTATAAGGAATTCAAGTAACAACTATAAACGGTTCAATTCATATTGTATTGTTATAGGAATAGAGTATTAAAGGTAGTAAAAAGAAGATGATAAGGTATAATCAAATCAATACTCAGGTCAATATTACAATACCAAACACGCGACGACAAATAAATGCAACAAACAATCTAGCATTAAACCTGTTCGGCGTTCAGACAATTGTGACCCTACGCGCTTATATCATAACGAATATTATGCCAACACGTCAACACGGTAGGCTTACGTAACAAAGTCGCCCGTTCGCATAAACCAAGTGGCCAGGGATTGCGAGAGCTACCGACAGGGCCGGATCTTCACAATGGACGGCCTTGGGCGACCCTCGTCTCCACAAGCGCTCAACAATGCCACCTATGTCTCACGAGCACGAACAATGGATTAGCATCTCTATAAAAGTCGCTCCAAGGTGCAATTTTAAATGCACTGCTCACTTTAAAGAGACATTACCGAGATTATAAAGTAGGTTCCAGTGATTACGAGAAAAAAAAGAGCTTTATGGACGTCCCATTTCGCGAATCCATCCCCGTAAGAGCACTGTGGATTTCTCTAGAACATTTTACATTAAGTAACTATTTAAAATGCACCCAACGATAATGAACGCAGTGCAACCAAAGCAGTTTAAATACGTGAGGTTTTGCTAATGACGGCAATTAAAACAATACGACATTGCAATCAAGTCGAGTGATGATTCACTCGGCTTCATTACGAAGACACGCTAAATGTTTGGATTGCGCAACGTTCACTTAACATATTTAGCATGTTTATAGAGTTTAATTGTAACTAAAACTTTAATTTAAAGATCATATATTGAAATGCAACAAACAATCAAAAGGACAATTTAACAATCATTCTTTAAAGCAAAATCTATAATACTATTCGGTACGACGGCTACGCATTGTAAAAAAGCCACATCTGTGTGCGTGCTCAAATAGAATCATCAGTTTTATAGGTTATTGTTGCCGAGCAATCGCTTGTCATTGGACACATGGGATTATAGTAGCTGGATTAATGGAAGTATTGTCCGTACAAACTTGTCTTACATTCATATAATAATGAATCATCTATATTTAACCCGTGAACTAGTGTCAGTATGGACTAATCGTTACAATAAATTTTAGAAGACGATTCAATATAAAACATACATTCATTTCTTTTTAACTGAGAAGGTGGCAAGATACAAACGGTTGGCCTGATAACGAGTGTTTGCAACCAATCAGGTGCCAAAACTTTAGCGTGGTTCATGTGTCAAAACAGATATATACATAATATAAAACTTCCTCTTCCAACCGGTTTTCTGTTAGGGCTCATTTTTCGCAGGCCCTTTATATATTCATACAGAACTTTATTCGAGTTTTCATCCCGTGCACATGTGCGGGAAGCCGATAGATGCAGGTGGCTCAGGTTCGTGCTTCGTCGCAGTCTGTGTGGAAGGCCTATGTTTTGAAGTGGACTAGAACAGACCGAAATGATGATCATGACAGAGCGTTATAGAATATGTTATAAAGATACTCGGCTCAGAAAATTTTGCGAAATGTCCTTTTCCCAAATGGTTTTACGAAGACATCTATGACAGCCACGGACAGAACAAGGCCGAGGGAACCACACGTT